GGATAGAGCTTCTTTACCGTATGCGTACAGGCTGTATACATGTGATCAAAGGGTTTCGTCTAAGAATGCAGACGCTACCTATCCAGGGCTATTTTTGGGCAGGAACGCACAGGAACGGAGTTCCAGCTGGCTCCCAAGTTGGCCACGCCCAGCAGGAACTCATTAGCATAATAGGCCACACCCAACAGCAGAAACTCATTAGGGTTGGCTATATTAGGGGGTGTGGCCTAACATGCAAAGGAGTTCCTGCTACAAAAAAAGCCCTGGGTTTTGACAACAACCAAGGTAAACAGAATAACAAGCAAAAGGTGGGTGTGGCTGGATGAGCACACTTCTGGTAACATGGGGGTGCGACCTAATGTGCTAATGAGCTGTGCTGTCAGGGGTGTGGCCTAATATGCTAATGAGTTCCTGCTGGGCTTTTTCTACAAAAAGAGTCCTGTACCTATCTATACACATGCAAACACACACAGGGTTGCCTGCCAGCTCTGGGTTAGGAGTTTGGCAATGGAGCCTGGAGAGGGAGGGTTTGGGTAGGGGAGGGACTTCAGCGGGGTACAGTGCCATATAGTCCCCCCTCCAAAGTACCCATTTTCTCCAGGGAAACTGATCGTTGCTGCCTGGAGATCAACTGTAACACCAGGAGATCTTGATGCTACACCTGAAGGTTGGCAACGCTAGACAGAGGTTGGGGCAATGGGCATGATCCCTTCATAGGGTTGCCAACCCCCCCGATTTGCCAGGGGTCCCCCGTTTTTTGGGGGGGGTTCTACCCACAGCCACCCATCTCTCTCCCTTTAAGTGTGTGGAACCCGTGTTTCCTCCCAAGCCTGATCTCCGCAAGCTTGCAGGGAAATGCCAGCTTCGTGCTCTTAAAAGAGAAACGCAGCTGCTCTTAAAGGGGAAACGCCGGCTCCTGCATTTAAAAGGGAAACGGCGGCTCCTTTAAGTGCAGGGAACTGCCGTTTCTGGAGATCTGGCGCACGGGCGGTGGGGGGGGCCGGCGGATGTCCCCAACGTGATAACATCACTTCGGGGATGCCCCGCCCCCTCCAGGAACACCCCCAAAGTCCCCCACTGGGGGTGGAAGATGGACTTGGCAACCCTATCCCTTCACCCTCCTGTATAGTCACTGGACATCTGAATAATGCTATTCTCAGGGCATGTATATAGTACAGTGTTAGATCTGTACCAGTGTAACTGCCATGGCTTTCCCCCAGAATTCTGGGAAATGTAGTTTGATGATGCTTCTTTTTTTTCTTTTTTTAAATTTTTATTAGTCAATAGTACAGTAAACAACAATGGGATTTGGTATAAATATGACCAACACAAAATTACATATAATAAAATACTGCAACATACTGAGAAGGAACAGCAAATTTAGAGGTGTCATTATTGAAGACATATTCTAAAAAAGGAGACCATTTCGTGCATAAAGTAGATTTTGAACATGAACTATTAGTAGAGGAAGCCACTGCATCAGAGAGTTTATCCATGATGTAAAAGTCCCAGATTTTTAAGCGCCAAGAGGAAAGAAGAAGTTTGTCGGTGGATTTCCAGCTACTCGCAATAACCACCTTAGCAGCTATTAGCAGAGTCGAAATGAGGTCTTGGCTGCATTTTGGTATATGAGGGGCATTCCATAAATCGAGTAATATTAGTTCAGGTTGCAGTGGTATCGAGTGCCCGGTTATATTTTTGATGAAAAAGATAACCTTGGACCAGAAATGCTGAATTTCTGTGCACCCCCACCAACAATGAAAAAAGTGCCAGGTTCGTTTGATGATGCTTCTGATAATTCTCTGTTTAGGCCCCCAGCTTCCAGTTTTAAATTTGTAGCGTAGATATCCTTTCTGAGTATACTAGTAAGGAATCTCGCCCAGTCCTCATAGACTTCATTCAAAGATACCAGGATCACTAGAGATGTTTCAACCGTTTTCATGATTAATTTCCCCACCATGTGATAATACTTATAGCCACCATAAGACAAAATTTCCATGGAGGCAAATGGTGCAAACTGAGACGTGTGGATTATGGCCGCTTCATGAATTTGAAGCCAGATCCACATCCCTACGCACAAAGATGCACTTGGCGACTGTGGACCAGTCACTCTCTCTCAGTCTTGCCTACCTCACAGATTTGTTATTTGTTTCTTTGCTGTCAAGTCACCGCTGACTTATGGTGACCCCATCGGGTTTTCAAGGCAAGAGACGTTCAGAGGTGGTTTGCCATTGCCTGCCTCTGCATCATGCCCCTGGTATTCCTTGGCAGTCTCCCTTCCATATACTGACCAGGGCCAACCCTGCTTAGCTTCCCAGATCTGATGAGATCAGGCTAGCCTGGGCTATCCAGGTCAGGGGGCACAGGGTTGCTGTGATGATCAACCTGAAGGGGAGAGAGCCATGTATGCCACTTCCTCAAAGGAAGGGGAAAGAGAAAAAGATAATGAACAAATGCTGGCTGAGGAGACAAACACATGGTAGAGCCCCTGCACAAGAATGTTCACCATTTCTATACCACCACATAGAGTCTGCGAAAGGAAGAAGGATGCTATGGGAAACTGGTTTACTGTATTGCATGCTAGGTGGCAAAAGAAGCAATCCTACATGTAGATCTTTCTTTTTGCTCAAGGAAATGTGAATTCTCCTTGGCATTTGAAATGGATCATACCCTGCTTATCTAAAGACAGGAACATGCCAGATCAACAAGATGTATCAAGGAGAGTGACAGTTGTAGGTAGAAAATCTCTTCATTCCTGGAGTTTGAAGAACAGCTTCAGGCTACACACTGGTGGTCTCTTCTCTCAAGAGTGGCAAAAATACATCAGAAATAGACTCTGGTGCCTCCAGAATGTAGAATCAGGATTCCCCCCCCCCGCCCCCCATAGGGCACTAAGCCCCTGTTAACATTGTTTGTCAAATCCTTGGCTATAACTCAATTGCCTTTCTCAATAACCTATGCAAAATGATTCGTGTTTCCTGGTAATTTATAGGTAGCAAAGCCTTGGTTTCTCCTTAATTAATCAGCTTTTTGTCTTACAGAGATTATGTGCAGATACTAGCTAGACCTCATTTTAAGAAATGAACCAGGGGAAAAAAAGCAGTTTCTAGGCTTGCCATGATGTCATTTCATGCTGCATGAGAGAGACTTGTTAAAACTCTTGTGACAGTTAATAAAAATAAAACAACGTGACAACACCGAAACTGCTGTGCTATAGGAAACATAAAGTTATTCTTGCAATATTTTCTCTTGCTGCATCTAAGTTTCGGAGATTCTGGAAGAACTTAGCTTTGAAAGTCACGAGTAATATGTGTTTAGTGAGTGATGCCATATAACTAGTGATCAATCAAAATCGGGGGTGGGGGTGGGAACGGACCCTTCTACCGCTAGGAAATATGTGAAAATGATTATTTAATGGCACTTTGCTGGCAAAAAATTTCATATGTTCTCTAAGTTTGTCCTGGAAGTTTATCTGAAAACCAATTTCCTCCTCCAATGCCAAGAACAGAAACCTTCTTGGCAGCCAAAAGCGATACCGGGTGAAACTTTTCACTGGGAGTAATTTTCAAACTTCTGCGATAATATTTACAGGCCAGCAATTGCAAAGAAACACAAGAGACGGATAAAAAACTGACTAGGCACACAAACTCAAGGTTTAGCTGGTCACCTGTTTGGGAGAAGAATTAGATTCTTCTCACTAGGTTTCAACTTAAGTCCATTTCTCTTCCAACCTTGACATAAAGTTACTCTTTATCAGCAGAAACTGTCAGTCACTGTTTTGAGGAATCCCTTTCCTAAGACTGTTCACCATGATCTCCTGTCCCAAAATGGGGTATGTCCCGTGGGAGCAACAAGCTTTTCCATTCACTCCAGCTGAAGGTCAAAAGTCATGGCAGAACATTTCTTCACTATTTGTCCGCCTCAACAGCTGCTTCCAGTGTTAATAAAGTTAACTGGTTTTTAACAGGAGACCCAGGTACCTTTACTCACAGGAATACTCTTGATGGATGCATTCCCCCAAAGTATTTTAAATATATAAATGTAACAGGCTAAGCAGTCAAGTTAACAGTGCCTACTTTATTTTTAACTTATAGAAACCTTTATCTTGAGAGGTGGAATATAAATCTTGTAAACATGCAAACAGAATCCTCAACTCAATCTGACACTTCATCTGTTTAGGATAATTCACCTGTTAAAACGACTAGAATTTAGGCAATCCTAGAGTAGTAATTTATAGATTTTTTTTAAAAAAAAACTTAGGACTCCACACCACCTTCAGTGGTTGTGTTTCTCCTGTTTCCACTTGTACTACTCTTCCTTAACGCATCTGTTCAGTTTCCTGGGTGGGGGTGAATTGGGCAGAAAGCAGAGTTTCATTTGAAAAGACACTCACTAGAACATATTCCCTGAATGCGTTTTCCAGTGCTAGGCCTCGTCCCATCACTGGTAAAGACAACAAATGGACACAGCTCTTGAGCATGAACAAAGTGTCTTTCTCATGAGGCTATATAAATTCAACCAGCATGGATTCCAAACAGATTGAGTTAAGTCACTGGGAGGGGAGAGACAATGGACTGGACCTTAAATAGAAAATATGAGATTCTGGTCCTTCCAGTAACCTTCTTGGCCCATATGCTAAGCTAACTATTAATATTCCCTTTTCTCAGGAAGACAATAAACCACCCATTGAGCATTAAATTTGATGGGGAAGGGCGGGGGGGGGGGGTTAAGGTGAATACATTGCTGCAACACAACACAAGTTACCTTTTACCCAGAGACCATCCCCCTTTTCTTTAACCACCTCCAAATGGATTTTGAAAAAGCTGAACAAGTGTTGCACTCTGTTGTGGGGGGGGGGGAACATCCCCCCAAACAAGCAACGCGTGGGAGCAAGTTACCGAGACTACCTTATCTTTGCAAGCCAGAATAGCCCCTTTTTAGTTCTCTGACACTTGCAGGGCTCACGATCGCTCTTATCCTTCGAAAGTGCAGAGACTTACCCCTGTAACTGTTTCCCGGCTTGTAGAATTCCGGATCGCCTTCCACGCGGAGGCTAAATTCATTATATCCTTCTCGCCTAGTGCCTTGGGCTCGCAGGATCCGGCTGCAATATCCTTCGGATTTGGCGGCTCTCTCTAAGGTTTCATCCGTGAAGGAAGCGAATGTCATCGAGGGGAGAGTCCAGGCTAGTAACTGCAAGGCTTGCAAATAGCCGTAATAATAATAATAAAGTCCCATCATCTGGGTTTCCCAACAACTTTGGGGGGGCGGCGGGGGGGGGGTTAAAATAGAAATGTGCCGCGTCTAGCAGTTGGTGCGGGGGGGTGGTTAAAATAGAAATGTGCCGCGTCTAGCAGTTGCTGCAAAACCACAACATGGGCAGGTTGAAGTAAATGGCTGGGGAAAGCCCCAAGCCCCCCCCTCCTCCCACCCCCTTCTTGTCTCCGGAGAAAGCAAAGCAAAACAAGGAAGAAACTGACTAACAAACGCAGCCCTTAATCAGTTGCAGCAGCCAGCGAAGTCTCTCTCTCTCCCCCCCCCCCCCCCCCCCCAAGCCTGGGGAGGGGCGGGAAAACCCGAGGAG